TTGTGGACTTCAACTCCCAGAATTCCTGAGCCAGCCATGCTGAGGGGAAAGGGAGAGGTTTGCAAGCTGAGCCATGCTGGCTCAGGAATTCTGGGAGTTGAAGTCCACAAGTCTTAAAAGTTGCCAAGGTTGAGAACCCCTGGTTTAGAGCGTTACACACCTTCGTCGTCCTTGTGTTATTGCTATCTCTTAGTGCTGCCCTTAGGTCACGGGTAGGCAACCTTGGCTCTTTTATGACTCGTGGACTTCAACTCCCAGAATTCCTGAGCCAGCTGATACTGATACTGATGCTTTTAATTTAGTAAACCGAACAAATTATAAATGTGATCTGTTTAGAAGCATTTTATGAGTGCTTGAAAAACTGGTGGCCTTCATTATTTGATTGTCAAATGCACTACAGGTAGTCCTCAGCTTACCATCACAATTGAGCCCAACATTTCTGTTGCTCAGTGAGAAATTTGTGACATGGGCTTTGCTCCATCTTATGATTTTTCTTGCCACATTTGTTAAGCGAATGATTGCAGTTGTTAAATTAGTAACACGGCTGTTAAGTGGATCTGGCTTCCCCACTGACTTTGCTTGTCAGAAGGTTGCAAAAGGGGATCACATGACCCCAGGACACTGCAACCGTCATAAATGTGAGTCAGTTGTCAACCATCCGAATGTAAATCACATGACCGTGGGGCTACCACAACGGTCATAAGTGTGTAAAATGGTCATAAGTCACTAAGTGAACTGTTGTAAGTCATGACATAGGATGTTTGCAAGATGACAGAATTGTTATATGTATCTCTAACCTGAACTGTCAAATACATACAATCACTGTCAAAAATATGATTTATCTTAATTTTTTTTTCAATCTTCATTTTCTTCATGATTCTCTTGTAGACTGAGCAAGATCCAAATGCTGATTCTCTCCTTGATATCTTCAATTATTGGCTAAAGTAAGTGGCTTCTCTTCAGGGAAAAGGTTATATATTTCTGTTTGAAACAATTTAGTTGGCTAGCTTAATTTTTAGTCAGTAGTTAGTCACGAGCTTTAAGTCTTTCTGCTGTGGATGTAGGTGAAATTAGTAATAATTGGCTGGAAGTTGGCAACAGTTTCTCACCTATCCCAGAAGATAGGGAACATATGAAATTTGTTCTAAAACTTGTTTCTAATAGCAGACTCTTTGAAACCAGAGAACAAATTCAAGTGTGATTTACCCTGTTCGTTTTACAATTGGCAGTGAATACAATGATGTTGCCCCAACTTTCGCATCCCTTTGCAGCATCCCCATATTATATATGGCTACAGAAGGATGCCACAGTTGGGGCAAGATCACTGCGCAGGAAGCAGTTACATGGAATAAAAGCTAGCAGGACATGGAACATATTGTGGCTTGGGGTTTAACAGGATTGTAGTTGAACCAAAATTTGGAATTCTATGCCTCTTTGGGTTTTGACTACAACAAAGTCTTCCAGAATGAATAATCCCATTATCTTCTTTTTCTGCAACTGCTATGCTCCTAGCTTAGCCTCTGGCCTGCTTCTTTCCCCAGTTGTCTCAGCCTATTTTTTTCTAATTTTTTCACTGTTTGTTCAATATTTATGTAAAGCCGCTGGGGGAGATCATTCGTGGCTTTGGGGTGGATTTCCATCAGTACGCTGATGATACTCAGCTGTACATTTCCACCCCAGGCCACCCCAACGATGCCCTTGACGTGATGGCCCGTTGCCTGGAGGCCGTACGGGTCTGGATGGGGAAGAACAGACTCAGGCTCAACCCTTCCAAG